GGGGAAATTTACCTAACTTTATTATAACAACCTCAATTTAATTTTATATATTTTAATAAGTTTGAAATAATACAAAAAATATATTTCATTGAAAAATTTTGTAACTTTCTAAAATATATTTGTTTGATTAGGCTACATTAAATTTGTGCCTGTTATAATGGGTTTGGGTAAGTTTTTAAGGTTTTTTTGGTACAAATTTTTTAATTTTTCCACAATAAGTGATAAAATCTATGGGCTATTAGCGTCATTTAAATCAGTGTGGGGAGGCCCCAAATAATGTGTAGAAAGGGGGGAAAATCGAATCCTGTGAAGGAAAAGTTGCTGCAAGGGTCGTGAAAAAAAAAAGGGAGGGGGAGGTGCGTGGTGTCCATCAGTGTTTTGTTTCCGCAATACATTTGGAGTTAGTGTCAAATGTCTCACGGGGGGAAAGGAAAGATGCCATACCATGACTTCAGAGACAGGTGAGGTAGGCAATTAGAAATTGGGGGGAGACTAGGAGGGAACCCAAAGGAGGTCGAGAGGAAGGGGGTATGAACATGGGAGTGCGTCAGCAGGGGCAGAAAAAGTTCGCGTGGAATATAGGGAAGGAGGTGGAAGGTAACTGGGGAAGAAGTCTGGGGGGAAAAGGAGAAAGAGGGGCTACACAAGGGATGGGGGTGAAGTTCCCCCTTCTGTAAGAATTATAAAAGGGCAAGAACCCGGCACTGAGGCCAAAAAAGGGAAAAAAAAGTTGGGGAATTTTAAGACCAAGGAATACAAAAATCTTCTTAGAAACAGGTTCAACTTTCAGGCGATGGGGGAAACAAGATGCGGGTGGGGGTTGCGATGGAAAATTGGGGGGAAAAAAAAAGTGAGGTAGGAATAGGTAAGGAGGTGGGGGGTTTTAGAAGGTAAAACTGCAAAAGAATTAGAACAGAGGTGACCCCGGAAAACCCCGACCCGGAGGAGCTGGTAGCCAGGGAGACCACCAAAAGGGTTGGAGGTCTCTTAGCTCTTTGGAAAGAGGGCACGAGGAAGATTCCCCCAAGGGAGCCCAGAGAAACCATAGCATAAGTAAGGGGTTCACCTCCTTAAGACAACGGATTTTTGTTTTTATACAGACCCGACATCGGTGGGAAAAGGAAGGATGGGTTCATTGCAATTTTAAAAACAAAATGGGGGAAAGACTGCAAGATGTATTGGCCCATTACCGCCGCCCACAAAATAGGCCTTTACGCAGATCGCGTATTTTGCGGGTATCCAAAGTGCCACAATTTTAACATTGTTGGGGAAGGGGCCTTTACGGGTTTTAGCGATGGCCCCAATGTAAAAAGAGGGCATGGTTTTTACAGCAGTCAAAGGTTAAACAGGCAAAGTTACTGGGAAAAGCGCCTCAGCTCGGGGGGCAGAAAAATGTATCTACTTTGAGAACTGGAAAGGTCGAGGGCTAATTTCTCAAAATATCATCACCACAAAAACAGAAAAAAACCCCTGTACAATGGTACACGGTAAATCCCATCCACTGAAAGAACTGAGAGTAGCATGCTTAGAACTCTAACTGGTGTTATCAATGGAAGTTACATAAGAGGGAAAAAGTATAGCTTGTTCTACATTCTGGACTGTAATGATGCGGAAACCGCTTTGAGGAGCATGAAGGATAACTTTTTAGCCACATGTCGTAAAAAGGGCGTTACCAAAAACTTTTGGTCAAAAAAGATAACCAGTTGGAGATGTCAGTTGCAGGGAAAAGAATTTAGTCCACTGAGTACGTACTTGTCAACATGGTGCATAAAGGAAGTGGATGTCGTGAAGGTCGTTTTTGAGTGAAATGAGCAGACATCGAAGAACTGTTGTGAGAAAATGGTCTGGAACTGTTAGGCGTAGTACCACAGGCAGCCCGACCTGAGGTAGGTGGGCAATCCAAAAACCATTGCACCATATTCAGGGAAGCCAGATGCATAGTTAAGGCATGCAAGAAGCAGAGGTACAAACAGAAAACGGGTGGAGCCCCAGCACTTGGAGCAGGTAACGAAGCATCACCAGCAGATGAAAACAGGGGATTGGGAAAAGAGTCTAGAGAATGGTCCAATAATGAAGCAGAGTCAGAACAGGTTTACAGTAACAGAAAGGGGCCTGAGAGGAGGAGGGTTATCACGGATGAAGACTCCATGATGGGTGATATTTCTTTCTTCTTATTATTTAAAAAAAAAAAAGAGGACAGTGGAGGGGCAGTCACTAGAAGGCATGAAAGGGCTGTAAGCTCCTCCCTCATCTGAGAGGTCCTCAAGTAGTGCAGTTGCAGTGTGGAACTCATGCCATGCCCTACCCTTTGTGCCAGAAAAACCAGAGCTCTGGGATAGCAACCTCACATCTACCGACCACCTCAGAAAGACAAAGGAGAGGGCGGTCGGAAATCCACCACAAAGCATACCTCCTTCGGCTGTAAACCCCCCAGAACCAACAGGCAGCCTCTGGAGATACACCCGTCATCTGCAGAACCCCCCTGCCCACTTCTTGGAAAATCCTGAAGGGAGCAGGGCACCTCCTGATAAACCAGATTCCACGGTAACTACACCACACCCCGGGGAACCCCACGGAGTGAGATGAACTCCGTCACACTTCCCCCTACCTAGAACTGTAATGCCTGAGGGGAGGACCCCATTGGTTTTCAAACGGGATGGGGAAAAGGGGGAGGGGGAAGGAAAGGAAAAAAAGGGAGATAGGGGAAAGGGGGGATTGGGGGTAATTAGGTTCGATCTGAGGAAGAAGACCAAAAGGTCAAATTCCTCAGACCCAATAGCCTCTTCACCACTACAAGGAGCCCCCTTAAAGAGGCAAAGGTTTAGGAGTTCTGGTAACGGAAATTTAAAGCCAAGACAATGGTGTATAAGCATTTCAATAAAGCTAACAGTAAAAAATTCTTGGGTTTCATATGAAGAAGCATAAGTAATAGAAGTCTATGGTTATACTTCAACTTTAAACATCTTTGGCAAGGCTTCATTTAGATTATGCTTCTCAATTTTGATGTCCATATTTCAGAATGAACATAAAAAGCCCTGGAAAATAGGGAAAGAAAGATAATAAAGGGTTTTTTACTCTTTTGTCAACACATTTATGTGTTGGTAGCCACAGGATCAAAACTATATCTGTGGGAAAGCTGCAAACCTAGAATAACAATCTATAAAACAGACTACCTCTACTATAATTCAGCCGTACATACTTTGCTTGTACATACATGATTCACTTTTGTATAGTTATGGGGAATTAGATTTGGTAGTTACATATAGCAGTTGGAGGACAAAGATAGCCTGGACAGATTAATAAATTAATGGACCCCATTTAATGGATTTTGGAAAACTATGGACAAAAAAAATTGACCAGGAAAAAATTTGTAATAATGTTGGTAGAATTACTGAACAATATGTAAAGTAAAAGGACCAAGTGCAACTAATGTTTCGCTCTCCAGGAGCAACAAAGCTCCTGGAGAGTGAAACCGGTTGCCACAATAAAATGTCACATTTGTTGCACTTGTGTCCTTTTACTTGACCAACAAATGTTGGAATCATTAGACAAATTTGAAAAAGTCTGTAGATTCTGGATTTTATCCATAACAATAGTATTTGGTAGTTTTCTGAATCAACAGACCAAGTCCAATAATTTTGACGTTAGTCCAGTATGTTCCCCGTGTTTGCTTGTTCAAGACCTGTCTGCTGTTATTGTTCACAGGGCCATAGGCAGTCTGTCAGTTTGTCTGTTTCTTGCTCACATATACACTTACCATTCATCTTTAATTTCCCTGGATTTACAAGGTTGTGTGTGACTTTAAAATTAAGTAACGTGTAATTAGCAATGGCTTCTTTAAAACAAGTAGTGTGAATCTCAGTGTCAGGCAGAAACTTGAACAATGAGGAAGGGGAGTCTGGCACCTCAGTGGGGATGGGTATGTGCCAGTTTCCCCCATCTGTTCATTAAACTGAGGGTTTACTGCAGTAGGTAAAAAAACTAAAATACTGATCCTACTTTAAGCAGGATAACCATAACATAACATTCTTGTGTCTATAAACAATAACATAAGCCCGGCAGGTCTTTGTGCCAAGTGGAAGTGCAGGACAAATGATGCAAAGTTTAATACTGAAATTTTTTTGTTAAGTTTTACAAGTAAAGACACCTTTCAAGTTTATTAAATAGCAAATGCACACCTATTATTTTTATGTAAGTTTTTTGGTTTTAAATTTTAGTCAAATAGTATAATACTGGAGCATTTTAACTTTTTAAAATCAAAGCTTTGTCATCCAGAAGTAACGAGAAAACAGATGCGGTAATAGTATTATTATATTTATTGAGTAGCGTTAAAGTGTAAGTATATAACACCTAGGGAATAGGAGGGGTGGAGCAGTGGCGTCACTAGGGTTGGTGTCACCCGGGGCGGAATCTTTGTGTCACCCGGGGCGGAATCTTTGGTGTCACCCAGGGCAAAATCTTGGGGTCCCCGGGGTGGCAAAATTTGTG